GTCCCCCTGCTCCCCCAGCAGTGTGGTTGGGGCACCATTGGTAGAGGTGGAAGGACTGACATTGACCTTGTGTAGAAATGAAAGAGCCACCCTCCACATGCAGAGAAAGTCATCGACTTCTCTTCAGAGAGTGAAGACATGGCGATGCCTGGCCACCACTCTGGATAGAGTGGAGGGGGGTGGAATTGTGACTTCAATATCCGTTTCTGTGGAAAGGCTTTGTTGAAAAGCTGTGTTTCCACAAAGATCCTCGGAGGGTATCTGAAGGTCAGACCATCTGCCTGGCTAATTCTTCAGGAACAGGGACAAAGGGACTGGTGCTGGGCAGAGAAGGCCCCGTGGGCATCTGGTAATGGACTCTGAGGCAGGGGATGGGGTCCGAGCTTGAGCACAGCGAGGCTTGGCCAGGGTTCATTCGCAGCCTCTGGGCCACCTGGGCAGCAGGGCCAAGTCCCCAGCGGGACATGGGAAGGGCGTGTGGAGAAGGCCTGTTGTGTTCATCAGAAGTGTGTTCATTTGCTGGGCTGCTGCTACAGGGCTGCACGTGGGGAGTCGGGCCACAAAAATGTATCCCCTCGGTCTGGAGGCTGGAGTCTTAGATCACGGTGTCATGGACTCTGTCCTTGGCTTGTAGATGCTGTGTTCTCCGTGTCCTCATACCGCCATCCCTCTGTGTGTGTTCTAATCTCTTCTTATAAGGACGACTGTCATGTGAGATTAGAGCCTACCCCAGTGACCTCATTTAACATGATGACCTTTGTAAAGAGCATATTTCCACCTACAGCCACATGCTGAGGTGCTGGGGTTAGGACCCCAGTGTATTCACCCCTGGACTCAGGTGCCGGACTCAGGCCTGAGGGTGGCCTGGGCAGAGCCATGCCAGCGGGCCAGGCTTCCTGGCTGACGATGGCGAGCCGGTCCACAGTGTTCTGGGCTCCCCGCTCTCCTGGTCACTGTTCGGCCTGAGCAGGAGCAGCCGTGTGGCAGGGACCACAAGCACAGATCTGGCAGAAGCGCATGGAGGGACAAAGCATCAGAACTTCCCAGGGGCTCCGCTTCTCAGGGGCGCTTGAGCTGGGAGGAGGGTCTGGTTAGGGCCAGGTTGCTGCTGTAGGAGGCTTACCTGCTGTGGAACTATTTTTAGCATGGCCTCACTGAGCCGCCTGGCTCATTCCCCCTCTCTGAGTAGCCAGCAGTCTGTCCCTGAGGGGGGCAACGCCACCCTGTACCCCTCTTTGGGGAGGGAGAGCATGCAGCTTGTCCCCTGCCTTGAGAAGGTGGGTCCTAGTGGCTTGTACAGGGCCATGAAACCTGGGAGGCAGCCAACTCAGCCGCAGGACCAGGTGGTGCAGATGCCAGGACCCTGGAGCCATCTAAGCCTGTTATCTACTGCAGAGACTTAGAGACAGGCTCCGGTTTCCTGCCACCTCAGTGACAGCGCCTGAGCATTAATGAGATGGCGCCATGCGAACGGGCTGGGCCGGCTCTCCCGCCTTCTAGGTCCTGACCTGGCTCTTCTGCCTGGGTCCAAGGAGCAGCAGTGTATTCCGAGGCCCCAGGCGTGGGGGCCTTGCCCAGGTTGTCCTGTGTGGTCACGATGATGGGGGAAGGCTATGAGCTGGGCCCTTGCCCTTTTCTTGAGGGAACCCTTGTCTTCATGCATCAGACACACACATCAGGAGCAGCTTGTGGTTGCGGGCCTGTTGTGGCCTCACCTGTCTTGAGCGGCAGGCCCTGACACCTATGGGTCTGGCAGGGCCTCAGTTTCCCCATCTGTAATGAGGGAGGTTAGAGCTCATGCTTCTGCATGTAGGATTTATGACATAATCATCAGGAAAATCCAAATTAGTGGCTCTGTATGATACCATTTTACATGCGATTGGATGTAAGCCTGGTCTCTGGAGTGTCGCTTGCTGCTGGTGGCTGTGGGTGTTGGTGGAATCTACATGGAAACAGCTCAGCATCATCTAGAAAAGTCCACACAGGTGCAGTCTATCGCCCGAGATCGCGGTCCGAGGTCTGTCCCCACAGCACATAGAGAGCGTCCCAACCTCACGTCCCTCACAGCACAGACCAGAAACAGCCCACTGTCCCGTGAGACCTGGGCTCCACCTAGGCCATCCCCACCCCGGGGCTCCTCTCCTGCAACACACAGGAGCTGCAGGGCCGTGGCCACTTGGAGGGATTTTAGAAACAAGATTGAACAAGCAGCAAAATCACAGAAGAGTAAAGTTCAAAAAAATAAGGCGTGACACCATCTTGCCTGGGGTATAAGAAGACTCTAAGGAGTGATAGTGGTTGCCCTTGGGGCGGCCAGGGGAGGGGCGAGGGAGGGACCCTGGCTTGCATCATTCTGCCTGTGCCACAATGGGTTGTGTTCTCTGAAATCTTACCCGGGACCTCAGGTGAACGGCCACGCGTGTGTCACTGCTGTTTTGAAGCATTGTGTTTGTGGTGTTGTGTTAAAAATCATTTTGATACAGTGAAAAAATTTAAAAAATAAAAGATAAAAAAGTTAAGGACTGGGTCACAGTATTAGATGTATCTCTTGTTACACTGGTTACATCTAGTGCAGCCTTTGTGGCTTATGTTACTAAATACATATTTTGGGGCCTTTATTATTTATAATAATATTTTTGGTTGATTCATCTATTTAAAACAATCATTATAAGGGGTACCCAAGCCAGCACTCTTGGGGGCTGCTGAGTCGGGCTGTTCCTGATGCCGTCCTGTGCTGCCAGCCTGTGGGCCTTGGCGGGGAGGGATGCGGGCGTGGGCTGAGCGAGCAGGGAGCAGGGCATCTTTGTACCACAGCCCTTCTGCAGGGGAAGGAAGGCAGGCCTGCTCTGGTAGAAGGTCGGAGAAGTTGGCATATGTGGCATGTTGTCAAGGTGATCTGGCATAGTGGGGCCAGGTGGTGGCCCCCAGAAGGTGACGTCCAAGCACCTTCCTTCCAAGGTGACGTGGCTGGCACTGGGTGCTCCTGTGGGGTGAGCCGGGGGAGGGCCTCCTGAACTGAAGCCGGCTGACATGCCTTAGGAAGGGTGGCCCACCGTGAGTGATGCCCACCCTGTGTCTGGGGCACCAACAGCCCAGGCAGGTGGTCAACAGCAGGAAAACGTGTGGGAAGAGGGTTGGCCAGAGCGAGAGCCCATGGCCAGGCTCACTCCCAGGTGCCAGGGAGCTCAGCAGGCAGCGGGCAGCGGGCAGCAGGCAGTGGGCAGGCCCGTCTCATCTTTCTCAACTTGCCAGTTGCCATGTGGAGTATATTTGGTTTATCACGGTGCTGAGTGGTGACTTGGGAGCATGTGATCCAACAAAAATACACAGCTGAGGGCAGCTGAGGTCAGCTGAGGTCATGTGTGGAGGAAGCTGGGATCCAGCCTGGTTTCCACTTGCGTCTGGACGGGCAGGCGGTGATTGTGGGTCGCCCAGAAGGCTGGCAGTCATTGCGGAGCCAGGCCAGCCCCACACCACACCTTGGGCCCTTGTCGAGGCTCCTGAGCAGCCCCAGGGGCTTGAGCTGTGAAGGCGGCTGCTGGACCCAAGACTCCCGCATTCCAGGCAGGGTGGGAAACTACTGCTGCTCACTGTGTGACCCTGAACACATCACTTAACCTCTCTGTGCTTCTGTGTGCTCGCCTGTCAGCTGGGCAGGTTGCGTGCATGGGAATTGTGTGCAGGGGCCCCAGAGTGTGGTCACGTACCCAGGAAGTGCCTTTGCTATCCCTGTTGTGTTTTTCCTTTGCACTCAGAGCAGTGTATTGGTCGTGCTCATTGTCAGAGTGGTGATTGGTTTTCTGATGCTGCGTAACCGATGACCCCACGCATGGTGGTGGTGCAGGACAACACTTCACCTTCCTCACCTCCGTGACTTGACTGGGTGGGTTGGGGTGCTCCCAGGCTGTGGGCATCTGAGGGCGTGGCTCCCTCTCCTGGCACAGGTCTCAGCTCCCTCCCGCGCTGGGGTCCTCCCATGGCAGCTGCTGCGCCCCAAGGCGGCTGCACAGGGGACCCCGGTATGACCCAGCCTTGAAAATCCCACGGCCATTTCTGTGGTTTGTTCTCCAGGCACAGGAATCCCGAGTTTCCTCGCCGGTCCCTGCTGTGCTCAGCTCCCAAGGTGCCACAGCACCCACCCTGGGGGGCTGAGGAGGCTGAGGGGGCCTGTGCAGCTGTCTCCAGGGCCAGCTCTGCGCCTGCCCCAGCCCACAAGGACCACCGTGGGCGAGGGTGGCCACCGTGCTGCCCACTGCCAGCACTGAACTTGCCAGGGTTGAGTCACAGCTTCCTGAGTTTCTCTCCTGGGGAGGGAGGAACCAGGCAGCTCCCTCCCAAAACAGGTCCAACACAAAACGTTAGCACTGCCTGGAACTAAGAAATGCACATTGAAGAAAAGGGGAGAAAAACCGGTGTAAGTTCTTGGGGGAGTGGCTGCTTTTATGTTAAAAACCAAAACGAAAGCCTTTTAGCTTAAAGAAGTCCACAATAGCCTGGGAATTAAAGGGCAGTTAGGAGTTCTTATGGAGATTTCATGTGCAGTTTTAATCTTTTAAATTAGATGCTAAAAACATTAAAATTACCCATAATGCCTTTACCTAGAGGGCATCGCTATTAATATTTGGGTGCATTTCTTCTAGTCCTTCCTTCCTTCTTCCTTCCTTCCTTCCTTCCTTCCTTCCTTCCTTCCTTCCTTCCTTCCTTCCTTCCTTCCTTCTATACATGGAGGGTGTGTTTGGTTCATGTGTGTGTGCGTGATGTGTGTGTGTGTGGTGTGCTTGTGTGTGGTGTGAGCATGTGTGATGCATGTATTCAGTGACACTCGTCAGGTCCCCTGTGTGCCCTGTATGTCACCTGCAGAAGGAAAGCTCCTGAATCCACTCATTCTTGGGCGCTGCAGATCCGGGGCTCTTGCCTGGGGACCGTGGGTTTCTGTTCTGCCTGCAGCTGTGGCCCCCCGGTCCTGGCGCACCTCCTGACCGCTGTCCCTGTCTTTCCAGGACGGCTGTTCTCAGTGAAGGACCGTGCACTCGCTACTGAGGAGCGACCATGGGCCTGCTCGCCTACCTGAAGACCCAGTTCGTGGTGCACCTCCTCATTGGGTTCGTCTTTGTGGTGAGTGGGCTGGTCATCAACTTCATCCAGCTGTGCACCCTCGTCCTCTGGCCTGTGAATAAGCAGCTTTACCGCCGGCTGAACTGCCGCCTCGCCTACTCACTCTGGAGCCGTGAGTACCACCCATGCACACTGTGGGGTGGGGGTGGGGGGCTGCTTGCAGAATGGAAGATGTTCAGGAGGGCCGGGGGTTGCTCCACGCAGGGGATGTGCAAGAAGGTGCCCAAACCCAAACTCACCATTAGGGTGGACCTTGTGACATTTCGACACCTGAGCACTGGGACCCACTGCAGTGGTGGTTTCCTGCGGTTTGGTGCTATGCTTTGGGACCTGGAAGCAGTTGTACACTCAGCCTGCTGTTAGCAGCCTTCCAAGCTGCCGGTACCTGGCCGGGCCTGTTCCGCTGTCCCCTGGCAACCCCTCCCCAGAGGGTGTGACTCCTCCCTCAGGTGGCCTGTCATTTTGCTTGCCTGGCTCTGAAAGGAAAGGACCCTTATCTCTCTTGATCAAATATCTGCGTGTAGATGTGTGTGTCTAAATCAGTCGTCATCTGTCCGATGGACAGACTGAAAGCTGTTAAATGGCATGAATGTCACGTGCTGTCTGAGCGCAGGGGTCCTGCCCCGCTAGTTTTCCCTGGCCCCGTCCCCAAGGGCTGGGGTCCCATGCAGAGGGGGTGGGGCTGTGCTCTGGCGGTCCTGCCCCTCAACACTGTGCTCTTCCTGGAGGGTGAGGTCACCCTTCTCAGGACACCTGGCCACGGTGGGTGTGACCTGGCCGGCAGTGGCTCCTGCACAGCTGCAGCCGCTGTCCACGGGGGCCCCAGGGCTGGCTGCGTGCCCACACCCCCATCCTGTGGATGGGATGTGTGATAGTCCCTAAAACCATGGCTCTCGTGGGAATCGTAACCTGGCTTGGGATAACCGTCCACAATGCTGGGTCCCATTTCTTCTGTCACTTTGTGAAAATTTCATTTTCCTTCTCTCCTACTTTTGCTTAAAGAAGTTTATTATAAATTAGGAAAACTTATTGTATTAAATATAAACCACCAACATGCATTTCTAACAGAAAAGCACAGTCTGTATGAAATACTGGAGAAGCCCCGCTGAGTTGGAGCTGGGGCGGCCTGTGCTCCCTGCCCGGAGGGAGGGCCCAGCCGGTGCGCCTGGCCCACCCCCGCCGACGTCCCCTCACCCTGTGTTTCCACAGAGCTGGTCATGCTGCTGGAATGGTGGTCCTGCACGGAGTGCACCCTGTTCACTGACCAGGCCACGATGGACCGCTTGGGGAAAGAGCATGTGGTCATCATCCTCAATCACAACTTCGAGATCGACTTCCTCTGCGGGTGGACCATGTGTGAGCGGTTCGGCGTGCTGGGGGTGAGTGACGCAGGGGTCCCGGGGAGCTGTTGCCATGAGTCTGGGTTTTCTCCCCTCTAGCTTTAGCCTCCGGCCCCCTGAGCTCGGAGTCCAGGCGCATGGCTCACCCAGGGCAGTATGGACGATAGGTGGCCCTCAGCTGTCCCAGGGCTCCCCTGGGACTGTCTGTTCCTGCCTTTCCTCTCATAAGCCTTACGTGTTGTCCTGTGAGTCCCCAGCGCTTTTGGGGGAGTCACACAGTGCAATGTAGTATTAACACCCAGGGCCTGGCTGAGGAGCCGCAGTGCAGACAGCACCTCTGGATGGCGCTCCCACCCCCCTCTGCCAGGCCTGCTCCTCTGGCCCTCGTCTGGAGGAGGTGCACCTGCTCTCTTGGGTCACACTGGTCCCAGCGATGCCACGCTTGGTATCCGGTCTTCCCTCCACTCAGTGTCAGGGTGCCCCTGTGGTCAGTGAATCACCACCCACCAGGCCGGTCTGGGGGCCTGACTACCTGCTCCCCTCCCCCGCCCAGAGCTCCAAAGTCCTGGCCAAGAGGGAGCTGCTGTTCGTGCCCCTCATCGGCTGGACGTGGTACTTCCTGGAGATTGTGTTCTGCAAGAGGAAGTGGGAGGAGGACCGGGACACCGTCATCGAAGGGCTGAGGCGCTTGGCCGACTATCCGGAGTACATGTGGGTGAGTCTGTGTGGGCACGTGTGCTCTGGCAGGGGAGGCGCACTGGCTGGGTCCCCCTTGACACATGAAAGTGACCTGAGTCGTGAGTGGGAAGGCCAGGCCAGCAGGGGGCCCTGAGTCCCGGTTCACAGCAGGGCCTGGGGACTGACTTCCACCCACCCCAGCTGAGAGGCGGAGCCAGGAGTGGGGCGGGGAGGTCGGGCTGTGGCCCGGCTCAGCAGAGTGGGGTCCCCCTGGGCGGCGAGTGGGTGCCCATCTAGCGCCCCGGCTGAGGAGCTGCCTCTGCAGGGAGGGTTTTCCTCAGAGGCGGCTCCATCACCAACCCTAGTGACCTGAAGCTCTGCGCAAGCTCCTCCTTCTGGATATAGAAAAGTCACAGGGCACTTGACACCTGCCTGTCACAGCAGCCAGGGCCTGGGGGGCTTGGGCGGCTTTTCAGGCCCCTCAGGTTAGTTTGATGGGCCCCTGCCCAGAATCAATGGTGTCGGTTCAAAACTCTGGTCTCTCTCTCTGCTCCTTCTGTCTGGGCTCTGAGGGTCCTTTGAGAGATGGCTCCTTACTTAGCATTTCTACCTCACACACACATTTGCTACTCCAACCAGAAGGCTGCTGCCCAGGGACCTTTATGTGTCCTCCTTTCTGGAAGGTTCTCTACTGCATTCTTTGAGAATAAGTGCAGTGCTGTTAGCTGTGTGGTGAGGGGATTTGTGTGGCCGGAGTGCAGGCAGCAGCCCAGAAACACACCACACGCTTGTCACTACGGTGGTGCTGTCCTTTCTACAATCGGGCAGCAGCCAATACACTGCCGGTGAGGTCAGCCCGCGCACGGGAGGCGTCCGAGCCCACCTCCCCTGTCTGTGCCCTAGTTTCTCCTGTACTGCGAGGGCACGCGCTTCACGGAGAAGAAGCACCGCGTCAGCATGGAGGTGGCCGCCTCCAAGGGGCTGCCCGCCCTCAAGTACCACCTGCTGCCTCGCACCAAGGGCTTCACCACCGCGGTCCAGTGCCTGCGCGGGACAGGTGAGGGCCTGGGCTTTTGGTGAAAGGCTGGGGGGCACCGGTCCTCTGGGCTCCGTGTGAAACCAGAAACAAAAACAGTCAAAAAGGTGAATTACCTGTAAAATAAAGGCGAGAAAGGGAGGAGAACCAAGTTGGCGGAGTTAGCATGTAAGGATTCTCGTATCATTTTCAAGGTGATAAAACGTTACTTCATGGAAAATAACTAAAATAATAGAAACTATATAACTGAAAACTTCTAAAGAAAAAAATATATTTAAGTAACCCGAAAGGAGGCAAGATAAAAAGGGCAGAGAGGAGATAGGACAAGTAGAGGGCAGCCGGAGTGGATTTAAACCCATGCACGTTAGTAAGTAGTTTAGATGCAAGTCAGCTGAAAGCCCCACTAAAGGCCGAGATGGGCAGAGAGAAAACAGCCCCTGTGAAAAGCCCGTTGGGCTCTGCGTGGGGCGTGGGGCGAGGGGCGGCGGGCAGCGCGGGGCTCACTCCTGCACCCCGGCCCCCACAGTCGCAGCCGTCTATGATGTCACTCTGAACTTCCGGAGAAACAAGAACCCGTCTCTGCTGGGGATCCTCTACGGGAAGAAGTACGAGGCGGACATGTGTGTGAGGTGAGCTCGGCGCCCAGTGGGCACCCCGTCCTGCCTGGCGCCCCCTCCCCATGCTGTCGCAGCCTCCGCACGTGACCCTCCACCTCCCAAGCTGCCCTCAGGTGGAGGTGGCTGGAGTCCCGCCCTCAAGGGTGGGCAGACCTGGACACACAGGGGCATCACTGGGTCTCACACAAAGTGAGCAAGTGGCTGTGGGGTGAAGGCAGAATGTTCCAGACGGTCCAGGGAGGAGCCACCCCCTCCTCCTGGAGCAGCACAGGAGCTGTTTGGAGGAGGCTGAGCTGAAATTTGCACAGGGACAAGGATTTCCACAGGCGAGACCAGGACAGCGACCCAGCCCGAGGGGGACTCCATGGTCCCCTTTTCATGGTTAGGGCTCAGGCTAAGAGGCAGCCCTAGAGAGAAGGGTCAGGGCCACTGCTGACCCCAGCCCCACTGGGACTCCCACTTCAGGCCACCCTGGGGCTGAGCCCATTAGGTTCCACTGTGCCCGCTGCAAGCCTGTGTTCAGGGTTGTCCTGCCTGAGGGACGTGGGAGCCGGTCCACGCAGAGCTGCTCTGTGGCCTGAGGAACCCTGAGAATCCAAGAAGGGAAAGTCAGTCTGAGGCAGGGCCCTGTGGAGCCCTGAAAACATCCAGCATCCTCAGATGATTAGAAACAGCTCCTATTAATTGTTCAGTGAACACGTATTGAGTGTGTACTGCATGCAAAGCAAGAGGCTAGAGGCAGGGGTAGGGTGGGTGGACAGAGGGACCAGAGGACCGAGTGTCTGACCGGCACACGCTGGTGGAGACACGGAGAATGCGCTCAGTGTGGCAGAGGGAGGGGGTGGCCCCCTTCCACCCACGGCAGGGCTGGGCCGAAACCTTGCCCCAGGGGGCTGAAAGGGGGGGGAGTCTTTTCCAGGCCTCCCTGTAGGCAAGGGGTGCCTGAGGGGTTGTCTGGCAGAGCCGAGAAAGGGAAAATACAAAGGGAGGCCCTTGTTTTGTTTCAATTTTGTGTTTCATTCCTTTTTGGGAGGTTGTTAGGCCAGAATGAGGGGTCCACTTGCCACCCTCCCTCCCTCCTTCTTGGGAGCCCGTGTGGTGTGCCCACACCTTGCCGGGTCAGTAGTCCCCTGGGGCCTGCAGTCACATGGCCTGGTGGACAAAGGGGACTGACCTTTCCCCTGGGAAAGAACTAGATCTGCCTGGAGGCTGGCAGTGCGGGCGCTCCCACAGAACCTTCCAGCCAGAAGCTGTGTTTCTGTGACTTCTGTTGGCACCGGTGATTTCAGCCCCAGGATTAAAGGGACCTGTGTCTGCAAGAAAAGGAGTCAGGGAGGAGGGTCCGTTTTAGGTTTCATCCTGAGTGGTTTTCGGTGCCAGCGAGATGAGACAGGAGGGAGGTATCCAGGTGTCCCGTGCAGAGCCCGGGGCTGTGTTCTGAGATGCAGGCTCCGCCTCACATGCAAAGCAACCTTTATTTCTGAGGCACATGGTGAAGGTCAGTGACCAGGAGGGTGGTCACACCCAAACGGCATGTCTCCCCGTCCACTCTGACTCTCCCAGTTCCTCTGCCTCAGGGTGATCCACCCAGAAAAATCATTTTAAGGTAAAACAATCTGGGGACTACTCTGTTAATAAAATGGTGCTGTGACTTGGATGCCAGCTCAAGACAGAACCCCGGCAGGACTTCCAGGGCTTTCTCTGCCTGGGTCATCCTGGTTGAACTTGCCAGTGTTGTTCAGGCCCCTCCCTGGTCATGTGTAAATCCCATGGAACCCACTGCATCAGCACCCTTGTCTGCCCCCTAACCACCGGTGACTCAGTGGCATCCCGGTTGGTGTGACTGGCAAAGGCTCAGACAGGCCCTCTCCATGGCAGCTGGGAGAGCTTGAGGCGGTAAATGTTTTTCATTTGTTTGCTTGCTTGCTTTTGTTTTTAAATACCACCCAGTTCTGGCCACACTATAAGAGATTTCCAGGAATAATTTTGTGAACATAATAAGCTGGATGGGTTTTTCCTTCTGAAGTTTGCAATGGACTGGCTCAAAATAGGTACAGGGTCTCTTATTCCATCCTGGGACTGGGGAGCCCAGGGTCCCCACCCTTAGAGCTCTAGAACCCCTGGCAGGGGGCTGACCTAGCATGGCCACCAGGGACTGGGTGATCTCTCTGGGCCCTGGATGGTCCTGACCCGGTCAGCTCTCTGCTGGCTGAGACTCTGGTTAGGACGGGGATGCGGTCCAGGACAAGGTCAGCAGTGGTGGGCTTTGTGTCAAGCGTTTGATGGTTTTGGAGGCGGGTCTTGCTCTTGTCCTGAGTAGCTGTGGTCAGAAAGCTTCAGGTGGCTGGGCACGGAGCTGGCAGGGGGCAGAGCCGGGGAGGCCACTGGGCCCAGCTTGAGGTGGACACGACCGCACCTGGAGAGAACTTGGGCTCCCATCTGTTCATTTTCCCTTGGCTGCAGAAAGTGTAGGTCTATAATACACATTAATAGACACATTCTTAGAACTTCTAAAGCCTTAACTTACTGTTTTTGTCACTTACCCTTTGGGTTTTGAGTAAAAGCAGTGTTCTAGGGAGTCTGAAACACAGTTGTCATCCTGTACCCCGAGGCTCTGGCAGCCCAGGCAGGGCATGGGGGGAGGGGCTTGCCTCATGCTCTGCCCCTGCTGGTGGGGTCCCCGGGGGCTTTGGCGATGGAGGCCTGCGGCTGTCTGTGCTCCTGCTGGCCAGTGTCCTTAAAGTGGCCAAGTCAAGTCCAGGAGATATATGCTCATCTTTATATTTATTTTTGTCTCATGTTAAATTCTTACTGTATGTGTTTCATAGTGCATCTAACAGACATACACAGAGCCTCTGTGTGGCATGTGTACTATGGATATAATTCAGGGAGAACAGTCGGCTGAGTTTGGCACCTTTAGGGAGTCATCTTTCTGTAGGTAAACCCCTTCTGAACTTCGCTTCTTACTGGACTGGTTGGTACCTGGGGCAAATCCTTTAAGTGCCAGTTCTCAAGGTGTGGTCTGGGGCCTCCCGGAGATCTCCAAGACCTTTCACGGTCCACGAGGTTACACTGGTTTTGTTCACTGGGAGGTTTTATGCCTTTTCTTCCCTTGAGTGTGTGCTGGAGTTTCCCGGAGGTTGCGGTATCTGACAGTGTGTGGGCCTATAAAGTCAAATGTGGCAAAGACAGAGGTATAAGCCACATAAACCAAAGTTCTCCATTTTTAGAGCACGATGTTTGAGATATCTTAACACACGGAGATTTATGTCTGACCATGGACATTTCACCTGGTTCCTTTCTCCCCACGGGCCCGGCTGAGGTGGGCAGCTGGGGTCCTGTGGGGGCCCACACCCTGATGGTCATTTACACTAGCTCACGTGTGCGCTGGCCATCTGAGGTAGGACAGTTGCTGTGGAAAGTGGTTCTTGTCCTGCTGATCTTACCAGGTAGCCGCCTCTGCTCATGGGGCTGGTAATCTAGCTGGTGACTGGGTTTATAAGTAAGTTAGGGTCCTGACCAAAGTCAGCTGTTTGTTAATTGAGATTAAAGTTCTTAATCTCCATGGCTTTTCATATTTGAAGCAAGTAGGTTTCATTTGTGACGTACACAGTCTCCTTTGCCTAACGAGAGACTCTGAGTCATGATTATTTCCAAAGAGTGAACCATTAAGAGAGACTAAAACTCCTGCTGAAGCTAATAAATGACCACCCTTCACAGAGGCACTGGGGTGCCATCTGCCCAGTGCCCTGCTCACTGGGTCCCTCTGAAATGCCTCTACTACCCTCTGAATGCAGATGCCTCTGGGCCCCCACACCGGCCACTGTGCCTGCCCTGCAGAGCCCCAGGCCACCTCTGGGGGAACGCCCAAGAAGTTACTTTGATGTTTGTATTTTTGGAAGCTCAGAGTGAGACTGATTAGCAGAAGCAGGCCAGCGAGGAACCCGATGCACCGGTTTCCCCCACTTCCAGTTCACTGTCATCTTATTCTGCTTCCATCAAACAGGAGGTTCCCCCTGGAAGACATCCCGCTGGATGAAAAGGAAGCAGCTCAGTGGCTCCACAAGCTGTACCAGGAGAAGGTAAAGGCGTGCCGCCTCCCCCCAGGTCCCGGGAAGGGGTCTCAGGGGCGGCCGAGGGGGGGCGGATGCTGGCGTGCTGACTTCCTCTGGCGTCGGGACTGCGGCGCCGTCCTCTCACATCCTTCTTTCCAATCCTTCCTCTCTCGTTTTTCTTAACTTTCGAGAAATGAACACACTAGAGAAACGTGTAAGGGTATCACTGTGCTTGTGTAACCATGGAGAATAACACTTGATTGCATCTGTTTTAGTTTTCTGTGTAAAAGAAACTGTGGATATATGACAGACATGTACATGTATGTGTGTTTGGTTCACAAGAAGAAACAATGTAGGTGACAGGAAAAGGTCCTCGTGGCCACACCCAGCTCCACTCCACCCCCCATAGCGTGCCTCACCCCGACTCTGAATCCTGGTTTGTTTTATATATACAAACCTACAGGACAGTCGATTTTTGTTTTCAGCATTGAGAAAGGCTGAGATAATCAGAAAATCCTTTCAGGAGATGACCAGGATCCTTTCAAATGCATTGACCAGCTTGCAAGAAAATAAGGGAAGTCTCTAGGGATCAGAAACGGAGGTGGAACGGAAAAGCCGCAGTAAGCTGATGGGCTCTCCTGCTGGGCTGTGCTGGTCTCCCTGGAAACAGAAGGTGAGGCTTTGACCCCTTTCAAGGCCAAAGTTAGAACTGGAAACCCTCCATGAAGCCGAAACCTCCGAGAGGCTCACCCTCAGAAGGGTTACATACGTGGAAACCATCTACCTGCCAGCGCGGGGAAGGGACTCGGAAGCTCTCCTCTCTCGGTCTCCTAACAGTCCCCCCGGGAAGTCAAAATCACAGGCCTGCCCGCGAACAGGTTTGGGGTTTGAATTTATGCTAACAACGTAGTTCAAAAACAAAGACAATCTATCAACACGAAAAGTGGCTCCAGGCCGGTCCCTGGAGTCCCCGTGTGAAACTGGAAGAGCGTGACCGCACACCAAGGAGGAATGGTGCGGTCAGCACAGCTGATAACCACAGAACGCCCGGAACTGACCAACGCGGATTTCCTCAGGCTCGAGGAATGCAAGCCTGGGATAAGAGAAATAAAAAGAAATTCACCCAGCTTGGCAATGAAATCGCCAAACCCCAAAGACAAAGATCTAAGAATCACCAAAGAGAAAAGACATACTGCCCACGAAGGACTGACTGCGAGGTTAATAGTGGACACATCTCTCACTGGGTGTCAGAATCTCTTGGAAAGTCTTATCCATTTTATCCTCTTAGTAACTGTACACATACACACTCATACACATACATTATACACGCACGCACATGTGCAGACAGAACGGAGTAAGCCCAGAGTGTAGAACCCAGAAAAGAATAAAAATAGCATGAATTATTGTAACAGCAAAGTTACACAAGATGAATCAACCACACCAAAAGCCTGTCCTTTAGACCTCTTACAAAACAGAAAGTCTTGGGCCAAGCTGACCAATTGAAATAGAGCCATAGCGCTAATAGGGATGAAAAAGGTGACCCAACCAAAGAGCAGGGAGTCAAAATCGTATGGGAGCAGTACAACTAGCTTTATGCTCACACCTTTGAAAACTTAGATAAAACAGACAATTTCAAAGAACAATGTAACTCCCTCCAGCAGAAAAAGCAGGAGCAAAGGGAACAGTGCATGAGTCCCAGGCAGGTGGGCAGACAGACCTCATGCACTCGGGTGGGGGGTGGGGGGTGCGTCTCTGAATGTCTGTCAGGTTTACAAGTTTAAACTGTGTAAACCAAGGGGCAGGGTTTGATCAGCAGGACATGAGAGCTAATCTAAAAGTGTATCAGGTATGTGTTTATTCAGTTAAAATAAATAAACTACATATTATCAGCATAACTGAATCTAGAGAAAACCGTGCGAGAAGAGCAGATTGCAGTGCGTATGTGCTGTGACTCTTACAGAAAATTGGGACGTGTGCCGCACTCTGGGTGTCACTGGTATGGAAACGCAGCTGTGGGGTGTGAGGGTAAATCCGTGCGTGGGAACAGAAAGCCCAGGTCAGGAGCAGGGCGACTTCCTCGGGGACTGGACGCAGGGCCTCCTCTCTTAGACAGTTCACCTCCTCAAATAATCCCGTGCAAGTGCAGCAAAGGGCAAGTCTTGACCTAACCGATGGATTTGAGTATTTTTATACTGTTTGCTGTGCTATTCCATAATGTTGAATTATGTAACATAGCATTTTCAGTTTTTTTCAGTTTACTCTGGGGACACCACGCTGTGGTGTTCTTCTATGCTGTTCTTTTTGTCCGTCACCACTGTTTTTCGTACCTGTCGACAGTGACATGGGTGGGTTGAAGTCACCCCTTTTAGATGCTGCGCGGCGTTCCACCGAGTGCTGACGCCCCGTTCCTCTCTGTGAAATTACTCTGTGTCCCACTTTGCCGGGACCGGTGGGGGCGGGCGCACGTGGGACCTATCTGTCAGAGACGCAAAGACTTGGGTTACGTCCCCCAGCTGAGCCTGAGACACCCCTCCCCCATCCTGTGGTTACCTGCGGCCCCACTGCCCCCAGCCAGGAAAGATGCAAAGACCCTGCAGCGACCAGACTGGGAGCTTCTGGGAGCTGCAGTGCCTCATGTCTTTGGCGATTACCAGTCAGCTACAGTCTCCCCCTTTCACAGATGTAGACACTAAGGTCCTGAGAAGAAAGGGACCGTCCTCAGGTCCCTGGGCCTCTGACCTGAACACTGTCCACCACACCTGCTGCCCGGTTGAGGAGTGACTGCCTCTCACAGTGGCTGGTGTGTGGGGAGATGGGACCAGGTCCTGGCATCCAGGGTTCTTGCTTTCTGGACCCCTAAATCACCATCACAGAGCTGGGTGGGGGCAGAGTAAGTGTAGAGTTGCTCATGTACAACAATTAATAAATGATACAGGAATGAACTGTGTTTTGTGTACTCACTACTGGAAACCTACTCCTGCCCCACCCTGTGTAGTGTGCACTCTGGCCCCGCATAACAGAACCTGGAGCACTGTCCCCCCCTCCCCGCATCTTCCCCGCCCCTGGCGTGGGGCCGGCTTTGGGGCGGGGAGGGACAGGCACTGGAGACAGGGAGGGGCGCGGTCTGGACCAGCTGATGGTCCAGTAGCCTGCTTCTCTGACCTTCCAGAATAAGCATATTCAACAGAGGTTCGAAGGAGAAAAGAGGCGCTTGTTCAGGCGAGGAGTTGGGATGAGGACAAAGGACATCATATTTGAGAAGCAGGTCCACAGAGTTGTTTCTGCAGGTCGGGTGGGCCCGGCACTAGAGCGGAAGTGTGTACGAACGCCCCCTGTGCCGAGGGCGAGCGATGTGTCCTCCTGAAACACGTTGCGCACGTGGACGATAGATCGTGACCTAAAACGCAGTTCCTGGTTCAGAAAGGGCCGGGGGAGGTGTGGAAAGGCCCTGCCTTCTGTCCCTGGTGTCGTCTCAGGCCCTGGTTTACCCTAACAGCCACCCACTGTAGATACTCTGAGAGGGGAGAGAACTGGAGGCAGGACCCATCTGCTTAGGGTTGGGTGGTCAGAGGGCAGGTGGCCCAGTGGCCTTGAAAGTGGCAGGAACCTGCTGGGGGCTATGCAGGGCAGGGACTTGCGGTCACCTGAGGTGTGTGCATGCCTCTGAAGGTCAAGGGTGCCCTACCCACTGGAGGCCTCCTGTGGTGGGGGCAGCTGTCTACCAGCTGCACGAGGCTGTGAGGCTGGGTGTTTGTCAGGCCCCGCCCTCATTTGTATGTAACACAAAACAGCTGTGGGAAGGTGACTGCCGAAAATCAAATGAAAATAAAAACAGACAATGTCGCACTCTCCGTGGTCCTGTACAGATACCCAGTCGTGCATATTTTTTGCTTAAATGGAATCCCACGGTACCTCCAATGTCACGGCGCCATGTGGTGGCCACGGAGAGGTCTGTCCTGCTGGGCGTCCCCTTTCTCAGCTGGCTCGTGCTTGGCGTTCAGAGTGCGTCCCCAAGCCACTGCCGACCTAGCCCTGTGAGCGTCATCTCCCTGTGTCTTCACTGGCTCCTCCCTCCTGTCATTAGCCGACAGGAAAGAGAGGTGCAGTAAGTTTATGTGGTGACAGCCAGCACGGGGCGGTGCCAGGACTGCGCCCCGCCAGCCGCCGGATGCCCAGCAGGTCACGGCTGGCACCCCTGCCCTTGTGAGATGCAGTGGGAGCTGACGAGAGGCCTGACTTGCACACCCGGTCACGGGGTCACTGCCTGTCCTGTGTCCGGCACAGTCTCATTATTTTCCTGGGAGACGTGCCAGGTCAAAGGGCTTGTATTTTTACAAGTTTTGGTGATACAGGCAGCCGAGGTTCTCTGCGCGGGCCACGCCAGCTTCCTCTCCCACCCGCAGTACACGGCTCGCCCCTCTTGGTGGCCCTTCACAGGTTGGGCCGTGTTTCACTGTCAGCACTGCTGTCTCTCTGTTAAGGGGACAGCATGCAAAGACACTGCTTTTCTTGTGGACTCTCGCAGGATGCCTTGCAGGAGACGTATAACCAGAAGGGCGTGTTTCCAGGGGAGCAGTTCAAACCTGCCCGACGGCCGTGGACGCTCCTGAATTTCCTCTTCTGGGCCACGGTTCTCCTGTCCCCTCTGTTCAGCTTTGTCTTGGGCGTCTTTGCCAGTGGCTCTCCCCTCCTGATCCTGACGTTCCTGGGCTTTGTTGGGGCAGGTAAGGCGTGCGGACAATCCCACCGCGCAGGGCTGGGGTCTGCCATGTGCCTGCTGAGGCACCCAGGCCTGGAGACGACCACAGCACCCTGGGAGGCGGCAAGGAGCCGGGGTCCAAGCAAGGCCTCGTGGGCCTCAGAGGGCGGGTTCTGGCCACTCTGCTGCAGAGGGCTGCCTGCTCCGTGGGGACAGGACGGTGGGCCCGTGTGGGGCAAAGGGAGGGGCGGGAGTGGGCCTGCCTGCCACCCACACTGGCCCCCCCACCAGCGTTCCCAGTTGATCTGTCTAACCTCACCTTTCTCCTGTTTTAAAGCTTCCTTTGGAGTCCGCCGACTAATAGGAGTAACTGAAATAGAAAAAGGCTCCAGCTACGGAAACCAAGAATTTAAGAAAAAGGAGTAATTAATGGCTGTGGATTGAACACACGTAACCTGACGGTGGTGTCCGATTAACTCAATTAAAAACAGAACAACACATACGGAGAGGACAAAAGACACTTAGAAACTATTTTTCTTATTAACTGGTGACTAATATTAACCAATAAACTTGAGCCAAGAGTAAAGAAATCGGAAGGCCTGCCGGAGATGGCCGCAGCCCACGGCAGGGCTCACCTGTCGCCGTGGGAGATGGGGCAGGGGTGGGGCTGGCATCCGCTCTGGGGAGGTGGCTCCTGGGACACCAGGTCTCACCCAGCGTCATCTCTCAAGGACTCTGCAGGCCAGAGAGAGCCTCTAATGCTCTCTCTTCTTAAAGTTAGGTCCTGTTTTTTGCTTTTATCCATGATTTTGGGAACTCGCCCTGGCCCCTCAACTCTTCCCTGGCACCCCCAGCAAATGCTTTTTAGGACTCCCCCAGTGCTCCTGGGAACGAATGTCACAGGGTCTCTGGCCCCCCAAGGCGGCCAACACCTTCACTTCCAGGCGGTGGGTTTGGGGAGCTAGTGGGGGCAAGGATGCTGCCAAGAGAGTTCGCTGGGCGATGAGCACATGCGGGTGTCAGAGGGACTGGGCACCCACCCCAGGCTGGCAGCGGGCACAGGCTGTGCGGGTCACTCCCTAACCCTGTGCAGAGGTACCCAAGGACTCACTGAGATGTGGCATCCTCCCCGCACCCAGAGCTCCTCTGTCCCTTGCTCCCTTCGACCTTCAGACTGAGTCCCTCTGCTGGGTGCTGGGGAGGAGGCCACACTGGGCTGGTGTCCTCTCCCCCTGTGACCAGGAGCCCAGAGCCCAGAGGTGCTGAGTGCTGGGGAGGGAGACCTTTGCCCCACAGCCCCCAGGACCTGTGATTCCTTCTTTAAAAGCAAGGTTGCCACCCAGTCTGTCTTCTAAAGGTGGTCGGAGACGGCCGACACAGAGCTTGTTGGCTTTCAGGGATTTTGTTTTTACAGCTGATCTTTTGGTGGCTCTCAAGGCCCTGATGAAAACTAGAGGTGGTGAGCCTGTGTCCCTCCCGTGCCACCCTCCCTGCCCTGAGCAGGCACAGGTGTCCCTGGAGAGGGCCTGCCTCTGGCCATGTGGGTGGCCTCTTGGCCTGATGAGGCCTACACCCACAGGTGCCCAGCAGAGTGTCTTTTCAGGGCCCCAGCAGCCTGCGCGTGGCTGGTCCTCTCAGCATCCTTTTTAGGCGTGGCCCTAGAGGGAGGCGTTTGATCTGAAAATGAAGGTTCGATGTACCGAGGCCAGGCCGGGAGCTGCTGGGCCCATGGAGGTGTGGGGCCGAGGGCCTCCCCGCCTCCTCCTGGGGCTCAGCTCGGTTATTCCACTCCATCCCACCTGCACTGGACTTTCTTCTTGCACTTTCAAGTTGGTTTTTTAAAGCGACATTCCCCTCATCTTTTTTTTAGCAAGGGAAAGAAAATAACGGGTGTTCTCTCTGATACACTGTAACCAGCATTCTGAATAGAAGCGGGTTGAATTTTCTAGAAAAACAAATAGAGGAAAGAGACATGAAAAACATTAGAAACTATATTGGAAAAATAATAATGCGTTGGCCCTAAGTATCTATTTTGGGAAGATTTATCAGGGTGGCACCAATTCTTCATGACAGTGACACGCTCCTGAATTTTGGGTTTGGTGACAGAGGCGTTCTTGCCTCTGCCCTAAAGCACATCCTCCTGCTCCCTCTGGGCTGAGTGGCTACTGTAGCGTTGATCTGCCTTTGCACGGTGTGCTGCTCCTCTGTTGTTACGGGTGTTCGTCGGCGTCATTTGCCACGTCACTGGTACCTAAAACATTTAAAATGAGACAAGGAAGGGGGGGTACCCCTGGGCAGAGCCATTACCAAAAAAAAATTTAGGTCTTTTACCACTTAGTTACTAGTCCTGGTTTCCCAAATAAGTTCCTCCCCCTCGAAATTAATACATAATGTGCGAGTTCTTGTCGAGTGAATGAGCAGTACAGATGCCTCTGTAAACAGAGACCAGGACCAGGGTGTAGGTTTCAAATCTCAGTGACTCCTGATTTAACACAGAGCAGCTTGTGCGTCGTGCACCAAGCCCTTTGGGAGCAATAAAAACTACAGCACGAATGTTCAGGCTTTTTTTTTTTTTTTTTTTTTTTTGAGAAGGTGCATCTTGCCTTTCATTTACTTCAGAAGAAGAGGGGGAGGGGAGCTCTAATTTTTTATAAATTAATAAATTGCAGAATAGTGCTTTTCCTTGTTCTTTGCCTTTACACCCACTCCCGAGCTCCATCTGTTGCTGACGTTGTCATGTCCGATTCAGCTGAGTGTTGGAACAGGCCGTGCTGGTTGCTGCTGCCGGCAGGTGCCATGGGCCTCGAGGGTGCCCTCTGCACTCGCTCTGGGTCAGTCCAGGGCTGGGCGGTGCATGCTGGCCCCCCGCTGGGGCAGGCTCTGTTGCTAGCAGGGTGCCTCTGGAGCCAGCCCCCTGGTCTTGCTGGGGTGTGTGTGTGGGGGTCACTGGCTGCATGTTTCTCAGCTCAGGGCAAGGCCCCACTCTCAGGTGCCATGTTCCAAGTCCTTTGTCATCTTCCACCTACGTATCTTGGCCCTGCCCAGTGCATGGAGTTTGGCTCGTGAGCCTAGCCCATGCGTCTAGCTGGGGAGAAGGCTGCAGTTCTCTGGGCCTCCTCTGAGGGGTTCCAGGGGCTTCTAAGGTGACTGATATTTCCATGGTGACTTTGTAGCAGCTACCAGCACCTGGGGACTTTCTGGCTCCCCTCTACAGGGTCTTTTTGATGGCGTTGTGTGCAGTGACTGTGCCCACTGCTTGCAAGCCAGCAGATGCTGGGGAAAGGCTTGGCCGACCAGAGGGACAGCAGGTCATAGATTTCTCTTTCTGTATGCCCTCGTTTTCTCCAGACAGGCCTGGTGGAGCGTGGAATCGCTCCCCACTGCTGAGTTTTAACCCAGAGAAGGAAGTAGCAGGGGCCGCCCAGGGCCTGGTGGCAGCGCACTGCACTCACGGCCCTGTCTGCGGTGTCGCGCGGTCTCCAGAAGCACAGGATCCGGTCGAAGTGGCGGGCTCTGCACACAGAAACCACTAAATGATAACAAAGCAACAATGTCCACAGCACATTCTGGTAGAAAAACACACACATTAATGCAGGTGTGGTCACTGATCAATTCTGACTCTATCCCTTCTGTTCCTGTCACCGCCTGTGCGCCGAGGCAGGAGGACCTTCCTCACATTAACTAGTCACTGCGCATGACATTGATCTGAAGAAAACGGCGGGTGCAGGCACGTGCGATTCGAGAGCTGTTGCTAGGCCCTCCACACCCACGTGACTAATGATGATGTCAGATTTGGGGTGAAGAATGAGTAACTCTCTGCATGTTGCTTTGTCTCTGCCCAAGACACCTATAGGATAAGCCAAATAGAATCTTTCAGCCCAGCTGACTTTCAGCTGAATCGTTCAACCCTGAGCGTGAGCTCACGCTGCGAACTTCTCACCAGTAGTGCATGCTTCCCCCAGCATGCAGCACTTAGCGTCCAGTGGTGTAAGTTGGCTTCCAACTCTCCTGCCCTGTAACCAGGCCCAGGACCGAAAGAGTTGGGCCTGCGGTGCCCGCCTGCCTTCTCTCTGGAGACAGCACGTCCCTGGCCCATGTGCCTGCCCCTTTGTCTGGTGAGTTAGCTCACAAAGCGAAGGCCGGCCTCTCCGGATGCCCAGGCCTAGGCCCTCCAACCCCACTCCCGGCCATACCACCCACTGGGACTGGGCCGGGCTTTGTCCTAAACCCTGCTTGGGCTGCCAGGGTGCGTGCGGACATCCGGATTTTACCTTCCTGCATATCAGGGTCAGGACGCAAAAACACAGGGACAGTGTTTGGGTAGAAGGTGTCACATCAAGTTCTCCTTGATGGAGGGGGCAGACGCATGTGAATTAGGTTTTAGCACAAGCAGTTGCCACTAGCTGATTCGGTGAAAATGGCAGCCTTCTCACAGACCACTTGGGAAATTCAAGGACAATATCATTCCAGGGAACCCAGAAAGTACCAGAGAAGCTGACCCCAGTCAGCCCCAGCGGCAGCCACGCGTTCTTTTCCAGGACAATTGGATTGCTTTAAATTTTTAAGCTTTGTAAATGACAAGTTCACCTGGAGTTTTCTTTTCTCGTAAACTTTTTCATTTCTCAGCTTTTCGTTGCGTATTTGGACAGAAGTCAAACTGTGAATGAGATACTGAAATGCACTAAATTGTATTAAACTGGAGTTACTTGATACAATGAAGAAATGCATCTGCTCTGCTTGTATTTATTGTCTCAGAACTGTTATGTTATGACAATCAAATGTTACTTGTCTAAATGCCAGGAAATTCAGCTGGCATCTTAATCGTACAGACCGTCAGCAAGTTTCGTACCAACTAATCATTAAACCCGAAGACCGTCAGCAAGTACCATTGATGGAAATGAGAACTTCTCTTTGGGAACCACACAAACCGTCAATCCCAGTGCGTGTGACAGACACTGGGGTCTTTTACTGTTGCCGACAATCTGCCACAGCTGACCACTGGCCAGCTTCAAAGGCTGACACATCGTCTACAGGGTGCAAATGTCTATGGACGTCCCTTTTGTACACTTCATTTTTACAAGTTTGCTACTCACAACCTTTATGTAGTTGAAGATGGAGGTATTTTTGGTCTCTAGGAGCCAGGGGAGGGGGGAGCTAACTTAGATTTTAAAAGCCTGTGTCCCCAAAACCTGACTGTTTGCCCTGCTCCGCGAAGATCACTCTGTACACGGCATGCGTGAGCCGGCGGAGTGGCGCTGTGTTCCAGATGAATGCTGCAGGTGTCAAACTTATTTATTAAAGTTGCTGCTGTGAAAGAGAAGGATAAAATGCCCACAGTGTAAGAGAACGTGACTGTCTGTCTCCTGTTCCTTTGTGTCCAGTCTGCATAGATTTTTTCCCCAGGGAAGTACAGGACCTTGGGCGCTCACTGGCCTACCTGCCTGGCAGCTGCGCAGGGCTCACTGTGCTCCACGTCTTCCCAGGCTGCCTCTCGGTGCACTTGGGAGCCTCCCCTTTTCCACTGGAAGCCATCGGAGGGGAGTTGGAGAAGGGGCGCCACCGTCTGGAGGAAGGCAGCTGGTGCATGAAGTCTGCCTCTGCCTGAAACAGGCCTTAAAAGCCATCGAGGTCAGAAGGGTTTCCAAAGTAGGCATGTGTACATCAAAAGCTATTTTTTGTAAAAATGTATTCTGTGGAGAAAACCAAGGACTCCTTTTTCTTTCTTTTTCTTCTTTTTATAAAGAAGAACACTGGTTAGAACCGAGAGCTATTACAGGGTTGCACTGGTCTGTCTGAGGAAAAATAAACTGAGCTAACAGATTCCTGGTTTCACTTCTGCTCTGGGAGCTGCCATGGTCGTGCTTCTGCTCTGTGTGGGGTCCACACTCAGCCCCTGAGGACTGGAAAGGCTGGGTGCAGACAGGCCGTCACGGCCAGCTGGGATTTCTGTTTAAAGTATACCTTGAATCCAGAGCCTACATGTACCAGCACATGCACACTTGTCCATGCATTCCCATGCACATGCATGTGCACACAAACATGCATAGGTGTGAAATTTGGGGTGACGTGACACAGGAGATGAAACCAAAGGGCCCTGGTGCCACTTGGTGTGTTGGAGGGTGGGGTCACACCCTTGACCCCTGCGTGAGCTGTTTTGCTTCACTTGTGCTCTTGGCCCTGTTTGAGCATTAACGTCCCTGGGCAGAAATGGGTGGCTGTGGAGTTACCCTCAGACCCACAGACACGTGGAACACCCCGGCGATGGGCCGAGCCTGCCTGCTGCTGCTGGCCCAGACCCAGCCTCTGCTTTGACTCTGCCAGGGGGACGTAGTATGTAGGAGTCTGTCCCTGGCCACCCGCTGTGATTAGAAGTGTGTGGGAGCACAAACGTGTGCCAGTGAACACACATGCTGGCACACACACACCAATACATACATGTGCATGGGCACCTGCACACAAACCCATGTGGGCCCACAGTGCACACCTGTGCATGTACACATAGGCACCTGTGTGGTTGTATATACACCTAGACGTACACACATGTACCAACATGTGCGCACACTGGTACACATGCATGTACACACAGACCCAAAGAGCAGGGGGAAGTGAGGGTCACTTAAGAGCAACCCCACAGGAAATGTGGTGGAATCACGGGCCCACACTCCTGAATTGTTCTGTTTCCTCCCGGTACAGTGACGGAGGTCACGGGCATCCAGGCGGTCCATGCAGCAGGGGCACTTGTGGAGAGTGAAGTGCTCCCCAAAGACTAAAGAAATCAGACTGTCCTGTGACTGCTCAGAAGGGTTAGTGACATCTCCCGATCCAGCCCCTGGCTCCACCAGGAGTGGGGAGAGCGCTGCACCCACAGGAATGTTAGCCCAGGCAGCACGTTTTATGGAAAGTGGACAGCGAGTACAGAACACATGGGATGCGTGACGTGAGGGCACTGGGTTGAAGACCCACTCCTTCCCACGGAGAATCCTGCGTGTAGCTTACAGGGGTTCCCCAGCTGTGTGGAGCCGAGCCTGACCCCCTAAGATCACACTGTGGGGGCCAGTGAGGTCCTCGAATGGCTTTCTAGAAAGGTGTGTCTTGCAGAGCAGGTGTGAGTCTGTGGCCAGAGATGGCTGCTCTGTTCAGGAGAAGCAAGAACCCAGTGCTGTCTCAGGTCTGTCCTCCTATCCTCAGGGCTGGAGGGTGAGGTGAAGCCTTGGGGGTCAGGTGCAGGGATTCCAGGGACCCAGAGCACTCCAAACCAGGAGGTGTCTGCAAGAGCCGGGGTTATCCTTGAAGTCTTTAAATAGGGGCTGGGATGCGACAGCCGGCTCTAGCCAGGCGTGTCCAGCCTGTTTGCAAAACGACTGTCCAACCTGAGCCCTCCACCAGGGGAGCAGTTTGGGGTGGGGCTCTCCTTCTGTCTGCCCCCTGCCATGGAGGAACAGGGGCTCAGATCTTATACCAGGGGTTCAGACTTAAAAGGACTTGGGGTACTGTTTGTCCTGCCAGCCGCAGGGCCAGGGTGTAGCTCCATCCCACTGTCTGTGAAGTGGCCACACACCTGCTCAGGGTTCATCCAGCTCCCCCCAGGTCTTTGGTCTCAGTTTAGGACCAGAAAGCCTCCAGGACATAGACCCCCCCCGCCCACCCCCCCCCCCCAGACAGCTTTACATGGTCTCACTTCCTGGTAAGCTTTCTGATACGTGTCTAATTAGGCGGTCAGTCCACTGCCCAGGATTTTGTAAGAAACCTGACCTATGGGGGCAGCCCAAGGCCATCGGATGGACTCTCCACCCTTATACAAAATGAGGAGGTGGCACTGCCCCCGGTGACCCTGCCACGCTGACGTAACGGAGAAACTGCATCTCAGGATGTGACCTTCAGTGCCGGAAGATGGCAGCTCAGGCACGAAGCACTGTCCTCTCCTGCTCAGACCCTCTCCTGCTGCTTCCAACCGGAAAAGAACGCCCCCCTGACCAGCGATGGCGCTGGTGGGGAAGGAGGTGTGCCCACCTCTCGGGCCACAGGGGGCTCTCCGGGGTTGGAGGGTGTGAGGGTCTGTGGTCCAGAAAGGAGCTCTCGGGCCCTCCCGGCCCACCGCTCCCAGCGGACACAGAGCTCCTGAAACCCTTGTCCATTCCTCAGTGATAAGGGCACTGGGAGCACTTTGTTCTAATGAGGTGACGCTGGGTGGGCTCCTGATGGGGTCGGTCCCCAGAAAGACTAAGCCATGATGGGCAACTTGGAAATTTTGGCCCCTCCCGCTTCTCCAGAGAGGGGAGAGGAGCTGGAATGAAGCCTCAGGCCTATGCAAGGGAGCCTCCGTGGAATCCCAGTAGCATGGGGTTTGGGAAGCTTCCAGGTCCGTGGACGGATCCACGTCCCAGGACTGTGAGGCGTGCCTTCGGTTCCCAACAGGACCATGCCCGCCCAGCTCTGCTACTGTTCTGTCACTGTGGTCTGGAGCTCCTGGTCCGTTCTGCCAGGACCACTCAGGCCAGCTGACCCTTCGAGGGAGGCCTTTAGATCCCACCAGAGCTGGGCTGAGGCCTTCGGGCGCTTGGCCAGGACAGCCACCCAGCCCACCTCAGAGCTGTGGCCCTCACACGTTGTTCCCACACTCCCTGAAAGGACCCAGGGAGCAACTGGGTCTTCTATTTATAACCATTAAGTACTCCTAACGCTCCAAACGAAGCATTTATTATAGGAGGTTCTGAGCCAGCCAAGTTCTGAAGCAGCATATTAAACATTAAACATAGAAATAACAAATGAATCATTGATTTTCAGTGACCAGGCCAAGGATGCATCTGTTTTAGACTGTTGGGCAACTGTGGGTGGCCCTCTCGAGTAGGGGCTGGGCAGTGTGAGTGGGCATCAGAACCACAGTGGTCTCTGAAGAAGGACTCGAGGTCGGGGGTGCAGGTGGTTTATTTGCAGGTGGCCCCAGAGAGGGGAGGAAGGGAGAGGGGAGGGTGAGGAGGGAAGGACAAGGGGCCACAACAGTGCCTGTTGTTGCTGGTTGTCCCTGTGGGCTCAGCCCTGCTGGGCCTGCTCAGAAGCTGTGCATGATACACTCGGAGCACAGGAAGCTTGGAAAATTTATCCACCCACTTGGTGGGGAAGGACCTGGTGGTGCCAGTTCCCTGGCACTGCTCGGCCTGCTCTGCATCCCTGGAGAAGGTCCCTGGCCTTGGGCAGGAAAGGGGAACCCCCAAAAGTCCCAGAGTGCCCGGGCTGCCCCATGGCAGTTCAGTTGGAATGAGCTGAGGACACACGGCTTGGGCACCCCGCATGTCTGCTGGAGTCTGCGTGCACCCACGGGCCGCTGTGACTGGGTGCCCTTACCTTGTGCCACTTAGGTGGGGAGAGATGCATGGAAGTCTGGATGAGCGACACCACCCTTCCCACCTGTTCTGATGAAGATTTGGTGCCCTCGACACTTGCATTTTGGGCAGTCCAGCCTTTAACTTGGCCTTCCCTTCACCTCTCCTCTCCCTGCCCATGTCATCCTAATATTAGATGTGCCAGGGGCTGGCACAAGAGGCGTGGGGCCTGCACCCAAAAGCTAAGCTAGGCTACAGGTGGCTTCTACCATCAGGGCAGGGGGTGGCTCCTTGGGCTTGAGAATGGCCTGAAAAGGTGGGTGAGGACAGGTGAGGATCTGTCGCAATGTGGTCACCCCTGCGCACTACCTCCCACCCCCACTGAGGAGGGACACCAGTGAGGAACGGAAGCCTTGGGCATGGACAGGCTTCTTGGAGGACAACCTCGGCTTGAAAGGGGAAAGCGAGAATCCGGGCTGTCAGAAAGCCAAGGAAAAGGCAACCGAGCTAAAAATAGGGGCATTGAACAGAATGTCCAGAAAGGCCCTCTACGGTGCCAGGTTTGATCTCATCATTGCTAATTATTTAAGTCACATAACGCAGAATCTGGGAAGAGGCCATTGCTTCTGTACAAGTAAATGTGGAGAGCGGGCTCTTTATGAGACTAACACCCAAAGACCTCAACAGTTAACAGTGCTGAGGACTCGTGAGCCTGGGGTCTGGGTTGCATTCTCATTGTGCCCTTCACCTCTTGTTGGCTTCAAGTTGACACGAGCAAGGAGCTCACTGTGTCCCCACGTGGCCGAGCCCTGGGCTCTGCTTCCCCACAGGGGTCTGTGTCTCCACGTCCCCTCTGTGAAACGGAGACAGGAATCTTGCAGGGCTCCGCTGAGTGGGATACGTGTTTTAGAGGGAACGCTCCGTCATGAGCCCTGCTTTCAGATGAGAACGTTGAGACTCCGAGAAGGGAGGAGTGTTTCAGAATCCACACACCCCGCTCAGCGTCAGCCGCCTAACTACAGTGTGCGCCCTCTACAGACAGCCGGCTCCTGCAGACCAGTGGAGAGTGCCGGGCGGTGCAATGCTGAGGGGCAAAATCCCCTGCAGCCCACGACAGTCGCTGCCAGCATGTTGGTGCATTCCTTCCCCTCTCTTCTGAGTTTTTGCTTTTATGTGGTTGCGGTCATATCTATCACCTTCACCTTCTTTTCCATGTTTACTCCTTTTAAAATGCTCAAGAGACTTTAAACCAGAGGTCTGGAGAGGTCCAGGGTGCAGATGAGATTACAGGAAGGTGCTGGCTGTTTTTTTTTCCATTGCTAAAGCCTGAATTTCAACCCGTTTGGTTCTCTGCTGTCAAGAATCTTCTGGCTGGGCACTGGTGGGTTCCTCTCTCTTGGGCAAACTTCTGCCAAGGTGGCCACTCCAATAATGACAGAAAAACAATGGCAGCAGCAATCATTGTCACTGCCAGGCAGGACATTTTATGATCCAGGGATCGACTTTTCTTAAGTAACATTATAGGTATTTCTGAAATTGGTATTTATCTTAGGTCATTTCCAATTTTTAGCTGATGTGGCAAAATGTTTTTAATCCATAAATATTTGGGAGAAACCCCTTAAAGAGCTCTAGAAGTCCAGTCTCGGGGTCAAAGGACAAAAGTGTGTCACTGTCTTTTAAAAAGGCAGCACCTCAGAGAGTCTCCCCGTGGTGCCCGCCAAACAGCCTGCTGCTCTGCGGGGCGGGTTACCACGCCCTCCCCTTCCTTAGCGCGTCTCTTTTTTTTTTCCTTGCAGTTTTTGATAATTATAGGGAAAAAGTTTATATGGCATTTCCTTGATTACTCATGAGGCAGATTATTTCTGTACATAATTGTTATGTATTCTATTTCCTTTGTGTATTATTGGCCTGTCTGATGATATTGATTTCGGAAGGCTTGGTTAGATGTACACATTAAATGCACTGGGAGATGACCTTTGACCCGGAGGCCCAGCAGTGTGCAGCCCCTGGAGGGATCAAGGTACTTAAACAGAGAGGCGAGTGACACACAGGCTACCTGGTGGATTCTTTGGAGACTCACACGTCCCTACTTTAAAGTCAGTTGGGTTTTTAAAATTAAACTTTTATTTTGAGATAATGTAGGTTCATGGGCATCTGTAAGAGGGATCCTGGATTCCCGCAGGGGTGAGGCCTTGCACAACTCCAGTCCAGCATCACATCCAGGATGTGGACACTGATAGGGTCCCCACAGAGATTCTCCATGTTGCCTTTTACAGATGCGCCCCTTCCCACCTCACTCTACACCCCTCCTTAACCCTTGGAAAGCACTAACCTGTCCTCCGCCTGTACAGTGGGCCACTTCAGGATTGTTCTATAAATAGAATCACACACTATGCAGCTGTCTGAGGTTGGACGTTCGCATCCAGCATCATTCTCTCAAGACTCACCCAGGTGGTTATGTGCACAAATAGCTCAGTCCTTTTGATTGTGGCGTAGTGTTCTGTTCCGTGGTGTGGGTGGACCACGGTGCATCTCGCTAGTCACCCGTCAAAGGGCGTCTGGGTTGCTTCTAGGCTTGGGCCATTCTGAACGAACCTGCTGGGGACGTTTGCTGGCGCGGTGGAGAGGGCCTGAGCGGTGGGACAGAGCAGACCTAGCACAGGCCGCATCCCAATACATAATTGAACAGGCTCTTTGCAGCCTGGGCTACCAGGAAAGGCCATCGGGCCTCAGGTTCCGGCAACCTTCAGAGAACAACAAATGCTGTCTCGAACAAAAGAGTCTGAGAAAAGAATGGACATCGATTAATAGTAGTACCACCATTTCACCAGGACTAAAAGGAATTGCTTAGGCAGTATTTGTGCTGAATTCAAGCACTTTCTAAATTCCCATGTGAGAAAAGAACATGATAGTTCTGCTCAGAGAGCAAGCAGCCCAGGAGCCTTCTTACTGCCCACGAGCATGGGAATCGCCCAAAACTGAGTGGGAGAGCTTCACCTTGCCCTTGGCTCCCTCCAGAAGGGAAAGGCTTCCTCCTCACCAGAGCCAGCCTCGGGGGCCAGGACACAGGGCCTGCGCCGTCACCGAGGAACAGCTGTGTGACTTTTTTCTCAGAGGCTCTGAACGACTCTCTGTGAGAACAGACCCATGACCTAGAGAGCTGGGTGTGGAGGCTACATTTGGTGCTGTCAGGTTTTTAAAAAACAAACTACAGCCCTGGCTTGTATAGCTCAGTGGATTGAACATGGGCCTGCAAACCAAAAGATTGCCAGTTCAATTCCCAGTCAGGGCACATGCCCGGGTTGCAGGCCAGGTCCCCAGTAGGGGGTGCATAAGAGGCAACTACACATTGATACTTCAGTCCCTCTCTTTCTTCCTCCTTTCCCTTTGTCTATAAAAATAAAATCTTAAAAGCTACGTGAGGAGACACGAAGCGAGATGCTGTCACTTGAGTTTGCATTTCCATAGTATCTGCCAGTTGCTGAGCCTCTTTCCATGTGATGACTGGCCATCTGTGTGGCCCGCCCTTTTTCTTTGTCCACTGTTCCTTTCCTGCCTCCCTTTGGGTTAATCAAATGTTTTATGTTTTTCCCATTTTACTTCTACTGGCGTCTTAGCTGAACCCTTAACAAATTTTTTTATTTGGAGTTTTCCTCTAGGAATGGATATCTTTACATCGAATTCTACTTCCAGCTGCTACTGTATTACTCATCTTTTCTCTGTGTACGAGAGCCTTCCCAGCGCCCACTTCTCACCCTTCACCCGAAAGCTCCCACTTCATGGGTACAGCAGACTCCAAATGTGCGAGTCCTCTGTGCACCCCGTCCTTGCTATGGTCACTGCTATGTCTTACATGTACATTGTTAAACCATCACACAAACTTATTAGGTGTATGTGTCTCCTGAGGAAATTATGGGAAGAAGAAAGCATAACAGCAACATGTACCATCTCGCTGATTGCTTGCAAGGCTGACCTTTCCTCCTATACATCCACGTGTCCTTCGGCCATGAAGAACATCCTTTAGCATTTCTTGTACCTGCCTGCTGGCCACAGGTTCTCCCAACTTTATCTGGAAGTATCTTTATCTGCCCTTAGTTTTTAGAGTATTTTTTCTGGACATAGAGTTGTGTGTTTGTAGCATTCAACACTTCACTGGTTTATACCATTGTTTTCTGGTTTCGTGGTGTCTGATGAGGAGACAATGGAAATCCTTAATGAGTTCACCGTGTCTCTGAATGCACTGTGTCTTTCTTGGTGGGCCGCGTTCAAGATTTTCTCTTCGTGGTTTCCAACAGATTGACTGGGATGTGCCTTTGTTTCTCTCTGTATGAATTCCGGTTTTGCTGCGTTTCTTGACCTATAAATCAATCTTTTTCAGGAACTGGTGGATATAGGCCATTATTTTTTCAAATAAAATATCTGCCCTATTTTAAGTCTCTTCTCCTTCTGAGACTCTTATGACATGATATTAGGGCCTTTATATTGTCACAGATCTCTAAGGCTCTGTTCATTTTCCTTCAATCCTTTCTCTCTTTTTCAGATTGAATAATTTGTATCAATCTGTCTTTAGGATCATGCATTCCTTCTATTTCCAACAGGCTGTTAAGCCAATGCAGTAAAATTTTCATTTCAGTTGTACTTTTCAGTTTTAGAATTTCCATTCTTTTTTATACTTGCTATCAGCTTTTTGGCGAGTCCCTTTCTCTTTACTGATTAAAACCATATTTTCATTTAATTCTTTGGAGATATATATATATATTATACCTGCTTTATAGTCTTTATCTGTAAAACAATATCTGGACTATCTGGGAGGTGGTTTCTATTGACTAGTTTTTTTTAAGATCTTATTTATTTATTTTTAGAGAGGGGGGGAGGGAGGGAGAAAGAAAGGGAGGAAAACATCAATGTGCGGTTACCTCTCATGCACCCCCTTCTGGGGACCTGGCCTGCAACCCAGGCATGTGCCCTGACTGGGAATCGAACAAGCAACCCTTTGGTTCAGAGGCCCATGCTCAATCCACCGAGCTACACCAGACACAGCTGACTACTTTTTTTCTTGACTGTTTTTTCTACTTTCTGGTTTTTGCATGTCTAGTACATCTTTTAGTATATATTGGACATTGGTAAATTATAAGTTGTAGCGATTCTGGATCATCTTCCACAGAAGAGTCCTGACATTTGTGGTAGTTGGCAGTTCAATTACTGTCTTTCTCACCTTGACCTTGTATAGGCTTGGCTTTACTCCTTATCAGGCTGGATCTGAGGAATGTTGTAGGTTCCCCTACTTGGCAGGATTCGATGTGCGCATCTCTCTTGCCGGTCTTGTCAAGGCTTGGCTCCACATTTCCTTAAGGTAGGTCTAGAACAGGCCTTATTTTAGGGCAGGGGTTAGAGATGGTTCACAGGCCACTCTTGGCCCTGGCCTGTTTTTGTACGGCCTTTGAGCTAAGAATAGTTTATATAAAAATATATTTAATCCTCACCCAAGAATACGTTTTCATTGATTTTTAGAGAGGGAGTAAGGGAGGGGGGAGAGAGAGAGACATCAGTGTGAGAGAGAAACATCAACGGATTGCCTCCTGTGCATGCCCAGCCTGGGGACTGAACCCGTAACCTAGGTATGTGCCCCGATGGGGAACTGAACCCGCAAAATTTGGGTGTAGAGGACAATATTTCAACTAACTGAGCCAGCTGGCCAGGGCAGTTTTTATATTTTTAAATAATTGTTTTTTAAAAATCCCAAGAAAAAACGTGTGACAGAAACTGTATATGGCCTTAAAGCCCAAAATACTTACCTGGACCCTCCCAGATAAAGTCGGCTGACCGGGGCATGTGGCCCTCAGTGGAGCGCCCCTGTTGAACTGGGTGTTAATGAGGTATCAGTGAGGTCTTCTCCGTAGCCTTGGGTGACCTCTCATCTTCCTGCCATTCTCAACTTTGTAACAGCCTCTTCCTGGTAAGCCACACAGAGGCTCATCCTACACATTCTGAGCCCAGCAAAACCCAAGGACTTACAGGGACCCCTGCCCAGAGGCTGGCTCTCCACCCCTGCCTAGCCCCTTCTTCCCAGAGCTCTGCCTGCCTCACAGGTTCCAGCCACCCTAGCTCTGATCTTTGCCTCCCCACCCAGCTACCGTGCACCATGCGGCACTACCCCCCCACACTTGGCAGCTGTGTTCACACTCAGCCTATTTCATGTGTACATTTACTTTATTACATTTGCGAAAGTTACCCTAGGCGTACATTCCTTACACAAGAAACTTAAATGCAGTTGAAAGTAAGGTTCCATTTTGTGGCATTCCCAAAATGTGTGCCATTGCCTACTCCATGAAAGCGCTGTGTCGCTGGATGGGGGAGGGTGCCCGCTGGAGACACAAGTAAAAGGCATGTCCCTAAAGTCAAAATGTTTACAGTGTCAGGGACACAGGAAAGAGGGGCCAACGGGAGTGAAGTCAACATGCTGCGAAAATTCAGAGAGAGGTGGTTCATTCCAATGATCTGGAAGGATGTGTGTGGCAAGTTGGCCTTGGAAGTGAGGCTGGAGGGAGCACTGGGGTGCTGTAGGGTTTGTGGCTATAGCGAGAAGATAGTGATCTTGTTCTACTTTATGGCAATATTACGTCATAAGACCAGTGTAACAAGAAAACACAATACAGAGAGTTTTGCAAGGGCTAACTGCTACTCAGCTCAGTGGAGGAACCCTAACCCTAACCCTAACCCTAACCCTAACCCTAATGATTTCGCCTGAGTCCTCCAGCGCAGGGTAAAAATAACAAGGCTGGGCTATCCGTAGGCCCGCAATGAGAAACTACCTGTGTCCACACGTTATTGTCAGTGACACCTTCCCTTCACCCCCAGCCAGGGTCGCCCCGGAGTCCACACGTCCTTGTCATTGGCCCAGGGGGTCATGTCCCTGTCCACATGCTGTCGGTGACCCCCACTTCCCGTAGCTGCTGCCTGGGGAATCTGCGTGGTGGGGCTGGGAAGGCTCGGTGGGGCCCCAACAGCGTCACCAGGTGTGGGGCGGGGCGGTGGAGGGGGGCCCCCGCGGCCACGTGCACCCACCCTGGGCGTGGTACACTCCGGAAGGTACCAGGTCGTGGGAGCCCCGCGGTGTCCCCTTCGCTCCAGGAGGTCAGGTGCCCGGTCCACCCAAGGGAGACGTCCGTCCCGGGGGCGGTTCCCAGCGGCGCTGCCACTACAACTCCGCACTGACGCCAGCAGCCGCCACCGCCCACTTTCACCCGCCGCCTAGCTTCCAACTCAGTACGCCACACCACCAGGCCGCCTTTCTGTCGGAGGACAGCGCTCACTCGGGCGGGAAGCCCTCTCCTTTAAGACGCGTCCCGGAAGCGGTACCGCGGCAGAGCCGGTACCGGAAGTGAATTAGGCCGGCAGCTGCAAGCGGCCGGCTGAGGAGCTTCCTCCGGGGGCCGGGCAGGCGTCGCTGTTGCGGCGGGGGGGTGCCGCTTAGGTTCGGGCTGGCCGGGTGCGGCCTCGGGGATGCCCATGGGGCGCGGAGGGCCGGGCCGGTGACGCCGGACGCCCATGGACGCCCCTGAGGAGCCGCTGCCGCCGGTGATCTACACCATGGAGAACAAGCCCATCGTCACCTGTGAGTGCCGGTCTGCGCGGGAGGGGGCGGCGGCCGTTGCAGACTGCCCGGCCCGTGTTCGCCGGCCCCTTGACCCCTGTTCTGAGGCCCTGGCGGCTTCCTGGATGGAGGTGTGGCTGGGGCGGCGGCTGCGGCGGGGTCCCCGCAGACGACCTCCGACCCTGCGGTAGATGTCGTCCCGGGCCGTTTCCTTGCACTTTGACAGCGCTCGGGCAGGGCGTGCTCCGAATGGAGGGCGAGGATGGGGGCCCTGCTGTGCCCTCGTCCAGCTCCCGGGCTCATTTGCTGGCCGAGCGACCCGAGGGGACCGTCCTCCCGGTCACACCGCTCCCGGACCCTGGGGAGGGCCCTCGTGGCTCGCAGACTGGGGAGCGTGGACGAAGTTTGTGTGCGTGTGTCTTGTTAGAAGACGCGAGTTTGTACTTAAGTCAAATGTTAAATCTGATTGGCGCAGGTAGTCTGGTCGGAGCGGTGCACGGGCGGGTGCCGTGCACGGGCGGGACCGCTCCCCCGACCGAGCCCGGATGGCGGGCCAGGACGTGCCACACGCATCCTTCCATTCTGTCCATCACCTGGGCCGCCAGGCCCACTCCTGCCTTTTTGCTGTTACAGAGGTGAAACCCATTTCACAGATGAGAGTACAGAGGTTAGGCGAGCCCCTCCAGAATGCACACTCTAGACAGCCAGACTGGCGCCTTTACGGCTATAACTTCAGAGTAAAATATTTCAGACAACACTAATGGGTTGAAATGTTGGCTGGCATTTAGGCGATTTGCAGAGAGGTATTTCAGTTGGCCTTTCATGCTCTGAGAGGAAGCACTGTCACAGCATAATCTGGGCGGCCAGGCCGTAGAAGACTGTGTATCTCTCTTTTTCCCTTTTTTTAATTAAAAAAATTTTTTTCTGGTTAATGGTCACACCCCTTGTATGCTCCCTCTTGTCAGATCCCTAAGAAATGACAAAGTTTGTTGGCTGCTTGTTCTTCAGTTGGTAAACTATCTCACGGAAATGGACGGTTTCATCTAAATGTGGAGACTGGCATGGTTCAGCAGTTGCTGTTTTCTTCTCTGCCCCACCCCCCAGAATACTTGCAACCGAAAGTCTTACTCAGGACTGCACCTTGAGTCCAAGGGGACAGGTGTGTGGCACCGACCTTCAGGCCCTCTGATTCCCAGGCACTTTCTGAGTCCCCAGGGCACTGGCGCCAGTGCCCTGCTCAGTGCAGGTCCATGGAGGTTCCCTGAAACTCCTCTCCAGAGGGTGTGCACACTGGGTGTGCTGCAGAAACAGTGCGCGCAGGGGCACTCACGCCCCTAATGACACCTCATGCCCCTGAGCTTGCCTTTGACCAGCAGCGTGTTTCAATACGTGCCATGTCAATATGTCCGCAGATGTTCCTAAAGCTCTGTGGTGTTTTCTGCTACCAGCAGCCAGTGTCTGAGACCTGTGCTAAGGTTTGGTGTCATGCACATGTGCATGACAGGTAGCTGAGGGACTGTTTCCTCCTTGTGGGAGGTTTCCCACTAAGCTCTGTCTGCACTGACTACTGTTCATAGGCAGCTCGGAAAAGAAAGTGGCTTCAGTAAACTCTCAGAGGAAGTTAGTGAAAGGTGAGGAAGATCCCTTTAAAAGTTAAAGGATTTTTTAACTTTTTGAAAGACTGTCTGCACAGTTCAGCCTTGAAATGACACTTCAGTGTCTCTGGTGCTGAAGCTCTGGTGGCACTTGTCTTGCTCTCACTTCGTGCTTTACCTTGTTCCATTCTACAGCTAAAGGTGCCAGGAGGGCGGAGCTAGTCCAAATGATGCAGGGGTAGTAGGAAGGTTGCTTTAAAAAACCCATCCAGGGGCTTCATGTCTTTTGATATTATGTACATAGTTCCTTTAGTGGGCAACATTTTTGTTTTCAAAAGTCCATTTCCATCTCCTTAAATACTTATCTAGCTGTTGGCCCTTATGAAACTGTGCTTGTTCATTTTAAAATGAAAGCAGAGTTTATGCTTATTTTTAGTTTTTTTCAAAGAACTTAGGACATTTTACTTAAGTGAAAATGACTTGTGCATAGACCTTTCCGAGAAGAATGTAGAATGCACCGGTTCAGGCAAATTTCGGGACTGTTTGCTTATGCGTGGGCAGGAGAAGACTGGAAAGTCCCCTGAGATTGAGGGTACGTAGAATTCATTATTGCTTGAAAACCTTGCTGAATTATTTTAATATTCTGATGCTCCCTAAGAGTTTTAATGGCCTTCGGTCCATAATTAAAAGTTTCAGACCCTACTGCCTGCCCATCCCTGCTGCGCTGACTGCCTCCACAGGGGCTCCGCGTAGACCCCGGCACAGCTGACCTCGGCAGTGCTGGAGCGGGCATCTGAAAGGTGTCTGCCGGGGGTGCTGGGTGAGCAGTAGTGGTCCTGATAACCTGAGGACACTGTGTTATGGACCGCCTAATCCTAGCAGTTTGAACACCTATAATATAATTTATTGATTAGGAAAAATGCACGGTGAAACGGAAACAAATCCAGCAGATCCATTTGATCCAAATTTAAGTTGTAGCTTAGATTTTTTTTTCAACCACTGGATCGATTTTCTGCTTGAGAATAAAGACTTAGGTTTCTGATCCAAGGTTATATTAAGAAAGGTATGTTCCTTTTCCAGCTCTCTCATTCATGGACAGAGTTATCGTCATTCCTGATTGGTGACTTTTCTTTGTTCAGTGCTGGTATTGTGCCTAGAATAGCACATTCGATCGATATGGGATTGTCTAGTTTCTGAAAAATAACAACACTCTGTCCAAAGGGTCTGTTTTCCCCTGTCACATTTTATATTGCCTGTCCCATTTTTCCGAATCTCTGTTTTTGGGGCTCCAGATCTGACGTAAATTTTGAAAGGGAGAAAAAAGAAACAAATGAGCAGATCTGCAATGCTTTGTACTTGGTTAAGGTTTATGTTTTTTCTTTCTTGTAGGTTAAAGTTTTCAAATTTGCATATTGCAGTTTTCCACCAATCCTGACAGTGTGGTGCTTGTGATTTAACTGCTGTCTCAGTTTCATTACCAGAAAAGTAACTTATAATACCTTTAAAAAGATCAGTGCACATAAATGCACGTCTGGGTCCACATTGGGTTCGTAAGTCCGTAGCAGACCAGCTGTTGAGAAGTGGGAGAAGCAGCTCTCCGTAGGGAACCTCACTTCTTCGTGGAGTGGCCTCGGAGGGCGGGGGCTGAAGGCACCCCCAGATGTGCTTACCTTGCTTGCTTCTTATGTCATTTCTGCCTGGGCCTGGTTCCAAACAGTTAGGTCTCACATGTGTGACCTAGAGAGTTCCATAATCTTGTCCTCATCTGTGAACTTGGGCCAGTGGCAGCACCAGTCTGATGGGGGGATATAGATTGAAAAGTATGAATGTTGTGAAGCACTCAGAAGAGGGGTCAACGTGCAGAAACTGGGAGCTGCTGAGGAGAAAGCCCAAACTCCCTCTGTTCACGATGGCTTTAGTGTCTCAGCGATTTTTTCCTGGCACCTCTTGGCCAGTAAGAATACCTAATAATTTCGTTTATTAAGTAGTTAGGTCTAAATGATTTTATTAAGTATTATGTACTAACAGTCACTATCTGAAAAAATGCACATAAATTGGAAGAAAAATGTTCACTTCATTCTTTGACAACCACAGCAACACACTAGTGGAATGGCTGCACCGCACAACTTCTCTGCCCTGCGAGTCACATTGCACACCGCTACCCTGTCTGATTCTTGTGTGTGTGTGTGTGGTACTTTTATCACAGCAACCACCCTGTTTTGGGACAGCGATACGGCATTGAAAGGAATGTACCACGATCTAATTTTGAAACGGAATCCTCTCTATTCGCTGCATCTCTGCCTAGCATTGCTATTTCCTCTCATTTAAACCATCTCCTGTGGCATCTGGGGGGCTTGCTGGTACCCTGAGGCCCCTGGGTGCCCAGTCACGGAACCCTTGCCATTAGTATATTACTCCAGCTTGAGGGTGGATTCGAACTGATAATTTAGAAGTGAAAAGCTTCCTTGTCTATGTGAACTTCAGTTCACATACCCAGTTTGCAAATGTGTTTCTGAAGAGTTTCTAGTAAAGAAGGATTTGGTTTCTGAAGATGAAAGTCAAGAGTCTGATTTTCTTTAAGAGCCAATGGCTCTCCGCACTGCAGACCCTTAGCTGATCTTTCCCAGGAAGGACCCAGCCTGATGGTGTGGTCTGCCAGTGAGATGGGAGGGGCTGGGTCGTCATCTTCTACTGGAAATGCAGGTGACTCGCTGAAGAATTTTTTTGTCTAAAAAATGGTTTTGCCAGTTGACAGAGTGTCTTTTCATATGAATTGCACAGTGTTGTCTGTGTGGTCTCCCAAGCGATCACTTGCAGATATTCTGTTCCAGGGGCTCTTGCCCAGTGACTTCAGATCTCGATGACAGGCCGGGTGGAGGGAAAGACTGCATGGCTTTCAGTGCTCTTGGGGCAGAAGGACTCCTTCTCCACCCTTCTAGGTTCTTGTGGCTGGTCTGAAAATCAATAGACGTGAGACAGAATAACTGGAGGAAATAACTGAATTGAATCATAGGTATGTGTGGGAACCTCACATGCAGGAGAGGATCAGGGACAGACCTGGGAGATGGGGCTATGTGGCATTCTGAGCTAAAGCTAAGGTGAGGTGCCTGAGGCTGCAGAGGGGAGGGGGTCATTGCAGGGTGATAAGGGCAGATGTCTGTTCATTAGAAGTTTGGCCTGCTCCATAGATGGGTCAAAAAGGTTGTTTCTGGCGATATGTCTCATTATGGGCAAGGCCCCTAATTTAAATCAAGGGAGAGGTAAAAGTTTCCCTTGAACCCACAGGGTCTCTGTTGCTTTCACGTCAAAATAATCTACAAGCCAAGGTGGCACGTATTGTGGAGGCCTGTTTGGAACCCCTTAAATTACAGACACACCTCTTTCTGAGTGTCTCCTACTGTATTAGCCCCTGGGTCTCTGTGGCTT